AACAACAAAAATTTGGCCAGGCACAGTGGCTCATACCTGTAATCCCAGCACTTTGGGAGGCTGAGGTGGGTGGATCACAAGGTCCAGAGTTCGAGACCAGCCTGACCAACATGGTGAAACCCCGTCTCTACTAAAAATACAAAAAAATTAGCCGGGCGTGGTGGCGTGTGCCCAGCTACTCAGGAGGCTGAGGCAGGAGAATCGCTTGAACCCCAGAGGCAGAGGTTGCAGTGAGCCAAGATCATGCCACTGCATTCCAGCGTGGGCAACAGATCAAGATTCCTTCTCAAAAAAACAAAACAAAACAAAATACCAAAACCCAAAATTTTAATTGGTACTAAAAAAGTGCTAAAAGTAACATTTTGGCGCTGGGCGCAGTGGCTAACGCCTATAATCCCAGCACTTTGGGAGGCCGAGGCAGGTGGATCACTTGAGGCCAGGAGTTTAAGACCAGCCTGGCCAACATGGTGAAACCTCATCTTTATAAAAAAATTTTTAAAAAATAACATTTTGGATGCTAAAACTGATCTCATCCAACCCCAAGTATCTGTAACTAATTGTATTCCCTAGAGAGATGAATTATTACTTTAATATATTTCTGCAACTACAAAGTCCCATCTACGGGTGATAGGTGACAGTGACAGATCATCAGGCATTAGATTCTCATAAGGAGCATGCAACCTAGATCCCTGGCATGCGCAGTTCATAATAGGGTTAATGTTCCTATAAGCATCTAATACAGCTGCTGATCCGGCAGGAGGCATTGCTCAGGTGGTAAGGTGAGCGATGGAGAGTGGCTGTAAATACAGATGAAGCTCCAGGCTCACCTCCTGGTGTGTGGTCTGATTCCTAACAGCCATGGACTACTACCATGGCCTGGGAGTTGGAGATCCTTGGCCTAGAGAGCTCATACACAGTCCTGCCTGAGCTGCTGCAGAATGCAAGCAAAGTACATTCATCAGAGACTTTAAGGCCACAGTGAGAAACTGACAAAAAAAGCTAACATACAAAATATGATACCTGCAGGAAAAACAAAACAGCTCTAACCAAAACTCAAACCCTTACAAACCACAGAGATCACAGATGGCCATGCCTCTCAAAGCTGTTTTTGCATACTGGGAGCTCAATACAAATTTGTTGAAAGAATAAATACATTAATTTTTTTTTTTTTTTTTTTAAAGAGATGCTGTCTTGCCCTGTAGCCAGGCTGCAGTACGGTGGTGTGATCATGGCTCACTGCAGACTCAAACTCCTGGGCTCATGTGATCCTCCTGTCTCAGCCGCCCAAAGTACTGGGAATAGTGAGCCACTTCACTTGGCCTCAATTGTTAACTAGAATTAATGTAACCAAAATTTCTGAGTTTGAATAAAGTCCATATAACGCTGATTGACATTATGTGGTGGGCCACTTCCCATTTTAGGTTTAATATCAACGGTACAGTAAACATCATATTATTAGACTTTTGTGTTATCAGTGGCAGCAATATTTGGGAATACATTTCACTGTCTGCCTCCAATAAATTTCAGCTGCAGACAAGGCAAAACATACCTTTCAACTTGGTATTGCAAGATACCAACTTTCATATCAGGAGCTATTACAGCTAGTAAAGCTCTCAAGCTTTTGAGGAGCTGAGTTCAAAGGCAAGACTAATGATCTCATGGGACTTAATAATTCTTTCAAGTATTCTTTACAATTATAATGAAGGATTCTTTTCTTAATTCGTAAGTGATTTCTACGATCTTCACTTTACATAAGATGAAACTGTTCAACAACCAATTACATAAACTTTTTCTAAGCACAGCCTCAGATTTTCAAAAGACCATATATAAATATTTCCGGAATGAAAGTGAGCTCTGATAATAGGTCTGATTTGGGTTAGGAAGTCACTGAAAAGTAGGAGCCCATTTTACACATACTACTCTTTGGCAGAATTCTGTTATCACATGATATGGCTACAAAGATCGCATTTCCAGTTATGAACAGCTGAAGAGAAACTGTTGTATGATAGAAGAATATAAGAATTTCTAAGGCTTTTCCTCCTTTTCACTTGAAGTAAAATGGTACACAGCTTGGTAATTCTTTTCAAGGTTACCCACAAATAGGTTCTAAAATAATCAAATGCCATCCTGACAGCTAATTAGAGAATATGTGGCAACAAAATGAGAGAACGCTGACAGAGTGTGGATGTGACTGGAGATAGGAGAAAGGCAGGTCCCTGATTCGCACGGTGCCAACAGGAAGGAGTCGCCAAGGAGTGCAGTGAAAGAATACCAGGTGCCTCAACAAGATGGCTCCAATTTCAGTTATCTCTGCTCATCAACTGAGTATGTGCATAAAGTATAACTCTGCTGCGAGCGCTTTAGTCCACAAATCCCTAAGTAAATAATGGGTCACTTTTTCCAAAGCCTGTCAGTGACTGGTCACTGTGTCACGCGGGGTGATGTGCAATGAATTTCCTCTTCAGCTCATGCAGACAGGAAGCATGTAACTGTTGTGTTGCTTCTTTAGATACCAAAGATAAACTCGTGTGACATTTACAAAAAAGGACAATTTAGAAAGAACTAATCAACAAGATGAAACTGCAACAACAAAAATGTGAATCACATTTAAAGGGAGTTACAGAAGAAAGAGCTGGCCATGGGAATGTGGCTGCTGTTGCTGGCTGCCACGCTAGGTCTGTAGCAAGAGGACCACGTGATGGTGAAATGCTGAAAATAAATGAGGAAAGCAGTTGTGACAAAAAGAAGAAAAGTATCCCAGTGGAAGTGACGCTGGCAAAAAACCTCACATTAAAGGAGCTCTCAGAGACTGTTCATAATGTCAAAAGAGCAAAGGATAAAACGTCAGAAGCTTACCCAAACTTCGAAAATGAGCATGACAGTTTGCTGAGGCAAAGAAAAATGCTGGCTCCTTATCCAAAGTTTAGGAGGAGAAAAAAGTAAGCACTATTCCAAGTATTACTGACAAGTATTCTTTTAACGAAGAAAGAAAACGTTCAATTATGCTTTTATTCCTAATGTTTTAAATTACAATATACTAAGAAGATCCCAGTTTTCCAATTTTTAATGAACAGTAAGAGAGTTTTTACTGTTTTGTCAACAACAATGCTAATTTTCCCGACTGACTATGAAGACTGCTCTGCATGTGTCAACTTGTGAGGCCATCTCTAGCATCCTGCACTAACTAAGGTGTATTCTAAATCTTCTCTGGCTGCCCTCAACCCCAACAAAGGTCTACCAAAGAAATGGGGGCAAGGGAAGAGCACGTCTACATTTTGATAATCACAGCGCCTTACAAAAAGGCTCTGGTATACCATGCTGTACCAAGTAGCAAAATTAAATTGTAACTTAAGTGTTCTTGCCTCTATCATATGATAGGGACTCTGGCATAAAACACAGATAGGAAGGCAAACATCTACAGCCTAAATTAGCTCCACTCTCCACCTACTGAAGCCTTAGGGCATGTATATCCAAAGATCACTTCCATTTAGCTTTTACTGTGAAATGACATTATGAAGCTGTAAAGTTACCTCCCTAATCATGCTTAGGCTTGGCTAACAAGATCAGTGTGAAATACTCTGAGGAGAGAGTCAACACAGCAGGAAGCACTTGTATTTTAAACACTTAAAGACACACACACACACATTTATATACATTGGTATAACTTCGGAAGGTGCAGAGCCATAGCACACAGACATAAATTCAAATAGTAATAAGTTTAAGGAATCATTTCAACATTGGCATACTATTCATGTCATGAAAAGGGAAACATAAAAGCCCTCTATTTACTTAAAAGAGGCTTCTAGAAATTAAAATTTAAATAATATATTAAAAGAATGTAATAGACCAGAATGAGAGGATGCAGGGAGAGGCTAAGGAAGCAGAAAGCAGCAAGAGGGAGTCTTGAGTATGAATCCATTTGGAAATTGCAGCTCGAAGAATGCCCATCTCCTCTTGCATGTTACAGATGAAAAACTGTGACCCAGTGAAGATGAGCAATCGCCCAAGATTACATAACCAGTGTACAAAGAACTAGAAACAAGACCCTTTAGTTGCAGTCCCTGAGCATTAAGGCACAGAACAGAAATAAAGACAAAAGGAGCTCACTCATCTTAGATGCATGTACCTGGTTAAAAACCAGAGGACAGAGAATAAGCTAGCAAAAAATCTCCCGAAGACATCACACAGCTGGCTCAAACCTACAAGGTCAGCTCCTTACTCAGAGTTAGGTTCTGCAGGCTGTCTCAGGGATCAGTTCTTTCCAACTCATTCCAGCACATAACCAAGCTTGGCTAACTGCCTGTCTCATCTAAGCAGAGAAGAAAACAGGACTGGGAAGGACCCAGGTACTCTTCATATATCTGAAAAAAACTAGAAAAATCTCACCTCTGGACAGCTCAACTAAAAAAAGTGCTTTCATTTATTTCATGACCCCTCTTTGTCTATTTGCACGTTAACAGAGGAAAGCAGATAGAAGTTACACTTCTGCCTGCATATTCCTAAGAATGCCAAGTCTAAGTAAAAACCGGTTACTTCTGGAGTTATAAACAAAGAAGAACAATAATCTAAATGTCTAACAACAGAAGGATTAAGTAAATTATAATCAGTCTATAAAATAGAATACACAGCCATTAGAAATATTTACGAAGAATTTTTAACAAAATGAGAAACCATCTGTGTTATTTTAAAGGATCAGAATAAACATTTTACGCTTACAAGACTCTTGCTTTATATTTCTATTTTTGAGACAAAGAAGACTGGAAGAAAATTCACTAAAATATTAATGATGCCTTTCTCTGGTCTAAGAATTGTAAGGGTAGCTTTCTTCTTGATATTCTTTTCTATTTTCCAGACTTCCCATCTAGAGCATATACTAATCTTATCAGCAGGAAAGAAAAAGCCCTACATGTATTTCTAAAGTAAAAAGAAATGATAAAAAAAAGATGTAAGTTACTATCAAGAAAATGCAGAAACAATTTGTCAGCACTTTTTCATCTTACCTTAACTTTCTTTTTCCATGCAGATTTTTGTTTCTCTTCTTCTTCCTCAATTAATTTAAGTGCCAGCTCTTTGTTAACTTTTGGCAATTTCTAATAAAGAGAAAATAAAAGCTGATATTTTATTTTAAAAGCTAACATATTTACATTTTAGCTTAAAGGTTAATAGTTCTGTAAGGAGTACAGTTTCATAAATAGGAGATAAATAATTCTGATTTTTAAAATTTCATTATCCCCATAGTAGGAAATGTAGAAACAGGTGGTACCGTGTGGGCCACATGGCACAAAAATAGCAACACCAGCTTACTGCAGGGGAACTCGCCCTCATGTCTTTTCCCAGGGCACTGAGAGGCAGCACAGTAGCTCATGCCTGTAATCCCAGCACTTTGGGAGGCCAAGATGGGAGGCTCACAGGAGCCCTAAAGTTCAAGACCAGCCTAGGCAACACGGCAAAATCCTGTCTCTACTAAAACTACAAAAAATTAGTTGGGCATGGTAGTGCATGCCTGTAGTCCTAGCTACTTGGGAGGCTGAGATAGGAGGATCACTTGAGCTCAGGAAGTTGAGGCTGCAGTGAGCTCTGGTTGGTAAGCCAAAGGTCAGTAAGAAAGGGGATTAGCAAAGCCCCTGTACTCAAAAAATGGAAAACCCATTTAAAAATGCTATCAGATTTTTAGTGGAGGTGACAATATCAATCATCCTAGCATTATTTCCCACTGTACAATTACTACAGAGATCATAATGCTAAAATTGTAAAGAGTTTTGCACCTTCATGACAAACATGACACACTGATGACAAACTATACCAAAAATATTAGTAAAAGATGCAAATTAAAGATGGAAAACCAAGAAAAGACTGGCAGATCTCTTTGGAATAATACACAAAATGAAAACTAACTACTCTTCTCTGATAAACTGAATGGTAACTCTAATATTTACCTTCAACTGGACTCTCTGTGCACGTGTTTCTTCTATTTTCTGTCGTATTTTATCTTTTCTATATTCTTCATAAGCAAATGGATTTACCATCAGTTTCACCTTTTCAAAATGAAAAAAGTTTTGAAAATAAAAGAATGGCATTTAGTAATATCATTTTCATATACACCGCGACAGTTATGCCAAAGAACAGGCAGACCCCTACAAATCCTACTTAAGTTTTATAAAGGGCGGGTAGTGAGGGAATGGCTATAAACTGCTCCGAGTTTCCTGAAATACAGTAGCTGTAGTTTTGCATTTACCTTGTGATACAGTCTTATATCCATGAAAAACCCATGCATATAGGCCCGGAGGAAAGGAGAGCCAATGAGGTGTGTGAGCCCTGGGAAAGGTTAAACAGAAGAGAGTAGGTCCTTAAGCAATATTCATTAACATTTAACTGTTTTTCTTGTACAACAATTTGATTACAGTAAGATTTCACTGCAGAGTAACACTTTAAGGATTAGAATTAATAAGCTTCTCTGATGTCTACAGGGAACATTTAATCTACTTCAACAATAACATCCTTATTTATTTTAAATGAAATAATCCTGCACACAGAAATGATGAGAAAGTCCTTATGAACTATGACAAGGAGGGTTACCTTATAACCCCTGAGTAGTCCTCAGATTTTTTATTTCCACAAACCAGTTCAATTTAGAAAATAATACTGGGGATCAACAGTAAGTTGCCAAACTGAAATGCGGAGAAGGGAGAGAAGAGAAACACTGTTATCTCCCACCGTTTGCAAAAACAAAGGACACTCACAAAAACAGTAAAGAACCGTCTTCCAAGAAAACAGCTGACAAATTCCTACCGCCACATAGAAACAAACATACATGCAAATTAATACTCACATCACACATGTACTCTTCATCAGAGACTAATGAAAAGTCTACTGCCAGTCAGGATTTGAGAGCCCTGCCTCAAACAATACCTTTCACAGTTTTCCAGTTTTAATAGATTACACTTAGAATTTATGGTGCTGGTGGTCACATAAGAATGCTCTGCCTATGTCATAGAAATTATTTATTAATTGCAAATATTGACACAGAAGAAGGTTGAGACTATCTTCAAAATAAGGCCACATGTGATGTACTAACACGAGGAACACCTGTGGTATATGTCAGTGGTCCCCAACCTTTTTGGCTCCAGGTACGGGTTTTGTGAAAGACAATTTTTCCATGGACTAGGGGAGGGATGGTTTCAGGATGAAGCTCTTCCACCTCAGATCATCAAGCATTAGATTCTCATAAGGGGCATGCGACCTAGATCCCTCGCATGTGCAATTCACAATAGGGTTCACACTCCTATGAGAATCTACTGCCACCGCTGGAAGGAGGCGGAGCTCAGGCAGTCATGCTCACTCGACACTCACCTCCTCCTATGTGGCTGTTAGTAGCAAGCCATAGACTGGTACGGGTCCATGGCTCAGGGGTCGAAGACCCCTGGTATAAGTGACTGTCTTTCTAAGGAAAACATTACTCTAATTTCCAAATTTTAGTGATATATATCCATCTAGACCTGAAAATCAAGTACTAGGCAAAATCACATAGTAGTATAAAATAGTATACCTTATAGAACAATATAAAAAGCAAAATTAAATTTGGGATACTCTCATAAAGGAATTCTAAAGCTTGGTTAGGAAAATACTGTCAAACAATTTATTAGGTTAATAAAACTATGGGGTTTGAACTTTCACAGTGGAGTCTTAAAAAAAAGAGGGCTGAGCCTTAACAAAATGTGTATATTCTCTAATCCTTCCTCCACGTGTATATTCTCTACTCCTTCCTCAGGATGAGGGTCTGATTAACCACTACACTGTAAAATACATATACCAGTGGTTGCAAAAGTAATTTTTTGCTCCCTTTATTAATGTCACAGAATTATTCCAAGTCAGGTCATAAATAAAAACCAAGTGGAGTGCTTTTCACAGTGAAACAATCCTACAGGTAACTCCATGGATCCCTAGTCCCAAGAGATCTTCTGAGAAAAAAGGGCTCCGTGGTCAGGTAGGTTTGGGAAATGATTCATACTTTTGTCCCCTGTTTGGAGATGTACAATGCATGATGGTATTAAAGGCTCTAAGAAGTGTGTGAGGTAAAGATATGGATTTAACTGTGCTTAACCTAGCATTTCTCAAATTTATTTGCCACAAATCTCCTAAAATAACTGTGCTGAATATTTTCCAAGCATTTTCTGACTCATTCTCCAAGCAACCCTATGGGTAGGGACCAATATAATTCCCATTTTACAGATGAGGAAATAAAAGCTTAAAGAGGCTAAGTGAATTGGCCGAGTTGTGCAGATATTAAGTGAGAGAGGTGGGATGAAAACCCATGTCAGTCTACATGAAGTGCCCATGATATCAGCCACTATGCTATCCCTTTTACAGAAGTAATACTCCAAAGAATGGACTGTGGGAAATGCCAAGCTGTAAGATCTGCCATTCGGTATATCCGGGAAGAGTCAGAACTTGCAAATATTCAATATGCTAATGCTGCACTAAGAATACTCTTAAGAAGTAAGGGAAGTTCATTACTTCTACTCTTAAGATATTCTATGTAGAAGATTTTATGTATTATGGAGAAATGATAAAGGCTCATTTGATATCAAAAGATATTAGTAATATACATAAAATGCTTTCTAGTATGACTGTCATTTTGTTGAATATTATATCTATTTCTATAGCTTTATTGAGCAGTACAATTACATTTTAACAACATATACCTAAACTTAAATAACTGCTCTCTTCACTCAAAATAAACCCAGTATAGAGATTGAAAAAGAACCCACAATGTACTAAACATAGTAGTTTACAAAAAAAAAATCCACCAAAGAACAATGACTTTTTTTCCTTCTATTAAAGAATGCAGGTGAGTGTGACACAGCATATTATGAAAATTATGTTGGAGACACTTAAGAAGGTACTTCAGTAAGAAGGTCCTATTTCATTTGTAAGTCATTTTTTAAAAGGCTAAATTCAACTCTTTTTGATAGTAACTGATAGAAAGCAATTCTGCCTGGATCAACCATGCCATGAGATATGGGTTAAACAGGAAGTTTAACTAATCTCATTGCAACAGTTGCACATCTATTTGTTCCAAAGACAACTAAGTTGCCTCGACCTGGATCCTCTAAATGTTCCCACTCTCAGTAACTTCTGATGCAGCCCTCTGCCAGCAGAACAAGATGAGCACCATTTACTCTAATTTAGAGGAGTGTTAGGCAAGCAGCCCCAACGTGTCCCGCAGGGGCTGGGATGGCTGGGGGAAGAGCATGGACTCCGGGTTTAAAGCCCAACTCTCAAGATTACTATCACTGAAACTTTGGGCCATGTACATTCATCTTTTTTCTGTATCCGTTTCCTTATCTAATGAAATCATAACAGTATCCAATTCATATGGATGTGAAGATTAAATGAATTACATGTAGAACACTTAGAATACTGCCTGCACATCCTGGGTGCAGTGGCTCACGCCTGTAATCCAAGCACTTTGAAAGGCCAAGGTAAGTGGATCACCAGAGGCTGGGATTTTAGGACCAGCATGGCCAGCATGGTGAAACCCCATCTCACCAGGCTGCATGGCAGCACATATCTGTAATCTTAGCTACGTGGGAAGCTGAGGCAGGAGAATCACTTGAGCCTGG